TTTCATACATGTAACAAAGTGGGTTGAAATTCATGCTGACAATTTTTGAACAGGTGGTTAAAACTTTTTGCAGTTTGTTTTTGTTTTGGAGAGAAAGGGCACTGAACCAACATTAAATGGAGAACAGTAAAATAGTTTGGAAACAGCAGTTCTAGAAAACATTCAAAATGGTATTGTCAATTCTTTAAAGATCTGAGCCTCCTCATAAAATACATCCCTTGTTGACGTTCCTTGTATATAGCCACAGCATTCTGAGAGAAAGTGAGTTTACTGTCTAGGAATGATTTTGCTACTTTACTTGAATTGAAATGTACTGAACGTAAAAGGTTCATTGCCCTAGGCGGCTTCAACATACGCTTTGACTGTTCAACAAAGACTCAATCTGCAAAGCTTGTAGAACTGTTGGACTACCATGACTGTGTTCAACTGGTCACAGAGACGACACATAGACAGGGTCACATCATTGACTGGGTGATATCCAGGAAGCACCCTTTGCTGTGTGACTGACGTCAAAGTCCTGTATTTGCAGTTATCCTGAAGCTGAATGAATCAAAGTGTGAAAGTCTTCTCGTTGGTTCTCAGGATAGAAGGGTTCAGGCAGGAATCCGTGAATTCCACTTTGTCGGCTGGGGTCAAGAATATCGGGTCACTCTCAACTCTGATCTTTCACTCGAGTGTCATGTCAACAAACGTACCAAAACCTGCTTTCTTGTCCTCAGGAATATTGGTAATGCTCGCAAGTGCCTGACAAAGAACTCTACTGCCACATTGGTCCTGGCGTTAATTGTGTCACGTAATTATTGTTATTGTAATTTCCGTCTGTATGGAGAAACTAAACAGCAGCTTAACAACTTACAATGGGTTCAAAATGTTGCAGCAAGGATAGTTAGACTGACTGAGAAATCAGAGCACATCGCTCCTGTTCTCCATAGCCTTCACTGGGTCCGTATAAACACCGTATCACCTACACATTCCTTTGTCTTGTCTTCCAGTCTTTGTCCGGTCAGGCTCCTACCTACATAACTGATCTGATTAAACACCCACACGCCAGCAAGACCTCTACGTTCACAAACCAAAGCCCTGCTCCATGTTCCCATGGTAAAAACATCCTGCTATGTGGAGAGAACATTTGCATATTCAACCACTGAAGCCTGGAGCTCTCTGCCCCAGTTCCTTTAAAGAATCATTGTCATCGTTTAAGACCGAACTCAAGACCTTTTTCTGTTCAGACTTGCCTTCTCTGTGTAACTTCTGTCATCTCCTCTCGGACATGTGCGCTTAGAGCATGTACTGTGCATGGATTCAGCGCGTTACAAGTGGACTATTATTGTCCCTATTGTAGTAAGCTTCAAACCTATGTCCATACTTCTCAGTGTCAGGCTTGCAATTCTGCACAATGTGGTCCCTCGTTTGACCTAATAGGATTTCTTGTCAACATGCCGTGCTACAGTTTCTCTTCAGTTTTGTAAATAAAGTATTCATAGCATCATATTCAACATTATTATATTTTAGTGATTTAAAAAGTTTACAAAAACTTTGTTCATTCTCCATGAATTGCATAACAAATTATGAGGATTCGCAATCTTAATTTCACCTTAATCAAGTTACTTTTTTGTTTAAAGTGAAATTAATTGGTACGTTTTCACTGCAAACAGACTATAAAAGCGACTGAAAATGCTTATTGTGCATAAATTTTGGTGAAGTAGATTTGTCATTGGACCATCTTGATGGAGATTCTTTGCTTCAATAGAGTACTAAAAGTTTTGATGTTTACATTATATTCAGACACCATAGCAAACCCAAAACCAAAATTTAAAAATATGTTTCAGATGTGTTGCCAAACTTCAATTATTAAGCTAAAGTAACATTGATATGGTTGTCAAGCCCATGTCGAAATGCCTTAATTTTATTTTAAGTTTTTGTTTAGTTATTAATTTTCTAAATATAATGATGAGTCTGTCATTGCTGATATATCATCAGTTAACTTTACATTTTGACATAATCAACAATGAAAATAATTATTTAATTACTACCTCCAACATATGATTGCCTTTTTCCACAGGTTTGGAATGGAATAAAGAATGACATGACAATAGGAGACATGTTGCCTTTCTTCCTTGTGGTCATCAAAATGTGACCCATGGGAGTTATCTCCCCTTACGTAAATGCAGGGACGACATGATTTTTCCTTGGCTACCAAGACAGGAAGGTACTCTGGCATTTTAGTTGGATGGTTGTGTGGGCCTAATCCTCGAGCTTGAGAGGTAGTATACTAAGACTTTTTATCATTGTTCATAATGTACAAAAGTCTTTTGAATATGTTCCTTTGAAGCTTGATAAGAGATCCCACATGGGCCCAGAGTTAATCCAACACAAGTAAGGAAGACAACCATACACAACAGAGACTAAATGTTAACTGTTAAGACAAATAGGCCACAAATTTGTTGTGTGACAACACTTGAAGCCCGATTTGTTGCTGACTTTATGTAAATGGTGGACATTTATTACATCATTTCCACTTAACGGTGCATTTTGATGACGTCACAATGACATTGTCATAGCATCGATCGCTTTTGGTTCATTTCTACTGCACAAGGCATGGATACAGGATTTATCCCTGAATGGATAATATCCAATCTACATTTTGAGGATTTGGACTCATGTTATGCAGCAAGAACAGTCCATGTATTTGTGGCAGTGCATGGAGTCATCCAATAGATGACATGCTTACCTTGTTGGGATTAACAAATTTGGTCATGTGGACAAAGCGTCAGTGCTGATGCAGTTGTGCAGACATGACAGGATTCCTTAGACAGACCTTTTGAACTGGGCACGTAGGAACAATGTTTAGCTGAAGGAGAAATAGTTCACTGGTAAAGTTGGAATCTTGCCCTGATGAAAACTATGTCTTGTGTAGGGACTGTCTCCCATTTGTTGGAAATGGTAGGAACCCCAGACATATCTTGGTCTTTTGCCAAAGGGGCTTCTAGGTACCTGGATATATGAAGTAGATGGAAATGTGGAAAGTTGACAATCATATGTGAAATGCGAGTCTGATGAATAACCAAAGAGCTATCAAAATTCTGTAAGCTATTGAAGCTCTCATCCTTTGACGGTGAAACATAGATCCTTTAGGAAGGAATGGCGTACAAGGGTGTGAGTCCTGCAGGTCTGAACTGATGAGTCAATCTCTTGAACACAGTCTCCTTATGAATTTGATCTGGAGCTTCTGGCACTGGTACCAGAAAAGACTTGCTAAGGATCTTGGGGCCTATTGTCATATTCATTTAGGTAAAATTCTTCTCAGGTGCAAGAAATACTGAAGAGGAAAAATCCTTGCTAGTGTCTGAGAATTGCAGATGCTGAATGGCCTTCTTCACTAATAATGTTCCAAAGCTAGGTCAGCAAGAGAGCTGGGTCCCTTTTCAGATGGAATATTTGGCATTCTGGTTGAAATACCAGTGAACGATAATGTAACTTGTATCCTTAAGACACTACGTAGAGGATCCAGCAATTGGATGTGCTCATGCTATCAGTTTAAAGCTGAGGGTCACTAATTTCTTTGTGACAAAAAAATGAAAATGAGTCGATAAGATGACTGAGATGGATTTACACCCATTTTTGTGTTACAGCTTGATGTTTAATCATATCATGTAATAATGCCATATCAACATATATATAGTGAAAGAATAAACATTTGATTTGTTTGAAGCTGTAAATGAAAGTTCATTTTGCCCTTGCATACGGTTACTGTATGTTGTCAATGTGTGTATGAAAAATTGTGAATACTTTATGAGTATAGTTCTGGAAACAAATGTGACGGATAGACGGTTGTATATTCCCTGCAAACTTAATTTGAGCAGGGCATAAGAAGATCATACTTTGCAAATAACCATACCTGAAAATTACAGATGGCAGATCATTGGTATGTACCAAACTAGGATGCCATGTGGGGCTGTTTGAGTACTGAATGTTAATCATGCTGTAATCAGTCAGTTCATTTGCAAACACAGGGACAGGTGAAGGAAGGATCTGCCAAGATCTGAACATCTAGTATGTAAGAGTAGAGTTTTTGTATGTCAGCAAGATGTTTGCCAACTTTGTGTACTGTCCTACATGATCACTACCCACAATGGAGTGTCCATTTGTACCGTCAGATGCTGACCAATCAGAATCCACTCCTCTCACACACAAACAGGCCTGTTTAACCTGTCGTCAAGCATTGGAGCACTCGAATTTGAGATCATGGAGAAGAATTCATTGGTCTTATGATAGTTGCTTTTATTTTATGTCAGGACTCATGTATGGAGAGACAAGGGTGCAGCTTATTGACAGCTCAACATACAGGATACTATACCATTTGGTGGAGGCTCTGTCATGGTATGGGGCTGCCACATTTTGATAGTCATTGCTTGACCCCAATGAGCAAGAGCTGTGACAAATCTTCTTCTGAACGATGCCATAGAAACATTGATTTGGTCTGCTCGAACCCCAGATCTAAAACCAATAGAACGCCTTTGGAATCAGTTGGAAAATAGACTCAGAGCAAAGTATCCTCCACCACAGAATCTTCATGACCTGACCCAGCCATTGCATGAGGAATGTCTCAGATTCCTGTGTTGAGGATTAGGTATCTGAGGAGGTGGCTTGCTAATGTGATCTGTGTTTTGGAAGACTACTCTAGATATTGGCAGAAGCTGGTGAAACTGTTCCTGTGACATGTTTATGAAATTGCTAACACATTTCTGCCTAGTTTTATCCGGCTACCACACTTATCTTGCCCCCATTTACATTTTATTACAGTCCCTCTAGTCAATTGCGATTAATGTTCTGAGAAAAATATTTTTTGGTTTCTTCTTTGAAAGAACACTTTGGCATTTGGTTTTCATCCCTGCCTCTCCTCTGGTGTATGTGTCGGTGCGTGCATGTGTGTGGTCTTGAATGTAATTTCATCTAATCTTCTGCCTTGTTTGATTATTGTTTTCATGATATATCTTCAGATACGACATGCAAGCGTAGAGCGTTTACTTGAGCGACTCACTGATCTCCGATTTCTGAGTATTGATTTTCTGAACACCTTTCTCCTGACGTACCGTGTGTTTACAACAGGGCACATGTTGTTGGAATCTTTGAAGAAGGTCTACAAGAATCCTGAAACTGGGAATCAAGAGACAGGAGTGATGTATGTATACCAATCAGAACTTTAGCCTTTTAAGCATTTACTTCTTACTTCTTAGTTTACATGTCTGTTCACCCAAGTTGATTTGCTAAATGTGAAGGTAGAAGTCGGCTTTTTGCATGTTGATTAAGATGCATATTGGTGATAGCATAAATGTATCATCAGGTTCATAAAATCAACACAACCTTGACTATATTGTACAAGAAAAATCTATACTTAGGGTAACCATATTACTTTAGACTTATCCCAACTCATAGTGATTGCTTATCTGGCATTTTTCCTGAATGTAGTAGAATGTACATCATTGTCCTGTGATTATTTCGAACGCTGTCAAGCAATAGGCCAACCCATGGTATGGTCATGTTGTTGAGTATGAGTCGCAGCATACTTACTTTTAAAGACACAATGCCATTTAGAGAGTGGTCAAATGTAACATATGTTATATGTGGGTCTACACTTTCTTAGTTAAGTACAGGTTCTAGTACTTTTGTTGGGTTATACAACATGTGTTACATTTGACCACTTTCTAAATGGCATTGTGTATTCATAGCATTCGGACATGGGAGCCGTGCCAAGTTACACTTATCAGAGGAGTACACAAAGTCCGTAGTGTTGACTACCAGTTGTCTGACTTCCTTTTTTGTGCCAGACTGTGAGGGTGTGGGTTCCAATCCCGGATGGGACTCAACCCATCAAAAGTACTAGAATCTGTAGATTATTGTCATCAGTTCAATAAATGATGAAACTCAGTGAAAATTGGCGAATTCTTAACAAAACTTTACACCAAAACGCAGCTGTTCACATGCACAATATTTGCATATGCTTTTTCAGCAATTTAATGCATGATCCTTGTGCAATTCATCTGCATAAGGTTTGCAGCTTATGACATGATAGTGGAGAAATTCATCTTCGATGTAGCCATACATATATAAATAACATATAGTGAGTGCTTTACGTGAGTCTAAACTTTTGATGGGTAGTATATGTTACACACTTGCTTTTCCATTAACCTTGCAATTTTGATTTAGCGATTCCTGTTTAGTGATGTCTTTGTGCTTGCATTCCAATTCACATGAGATTTCTAATGTGATCATGTGACTTACTGCTCATTATTTTTGTGTTCCACACATTTTTCATGGTTTATGAACACATTTTTCAAGTGGATCACATGACCTGAATATATCTAGTGTACTAGAGATATACCCAACATTCTTTCCTTATGGGAAACTGCTCATGATGTGTTTGGTAACTCTGATTCATAGTCCTTCCTTGGTTGAGACTGCAATTCTAGATGAGTATGTGAACATTCAGTCATGAGACTTAGGGACACAGACAAAGGCAATCTTTGTCCTTCTGCCAGTCAACCATCTTTTAATTTGAACATGAACAATGAAGCAGTGGTTACATTGTCAACTTAATCCATGAATCAGTTTCTGGCCTTAAGTAAAGCTCTTAACTCACACTGGAGTCATTACTATGGCTGACTGATCCCAAAGTTTTCTCTGGCTCTTTTCACCTCAAACATCAAGTTAAGAAAATCAAGTCTAACTGTGAATGCATTTACATCCAAGAAACAAAACAGTAGCCTGAGTACTTGAGTAAGAAGTGTGTCAATTTTTATCTTCTTTAATTAATCTTTTATTATATGAACTGCCCTTTCTACTTGAAGGAAATAGTCTGTAAAAAGTAAATATGAGCTAAATCATGTTAAGCATATTAAAACAAGAATTTTGAAAGAACAAATTCTAGAGGCATTATTAGTAAGAATAATGCTAAAAAATAACTCTGACAAACACTGTTTCTGTGTTGTGTTTGGTACATTACTAGCATTTGCCTTGGTATCACAAGACAATGTCAATTACAGTGGCGAAGAAAGAGAGGTACATGTATATGGTTTGAATGATGAATCCACTGTCAATCAGATGTCAACACAGAAAGATTATGGAACATAGTCTGGTGTAGTGTCATTTGTAAATATGCTAGTATAAATCTGATGTTGATCTAATTTTTTAAAATGTGAAACATTTACTCTTGTGTAAAATGAGCCAGGTGTAGATAGACGCTTAAAATTGTCGCATTGTGTTCTATCTGGGAATAGAGCTTAAGCTAAATTTGTTCTTTGAACAAATGAATGTTGTATTAATTGTATTGCCTAGTGATGGTTGATTCAGTAAATGCTGCCATTTGTAATAATATACAAAGTGTAATAATATGCACTTCAGTGGATGTGAATTAGCTTACTAAAGTACTGTGGGAAATAGAAAATAATTTTTTTTTCACATTTATATCTACAATTTATGTAGTAAATATGTGAAAGTGTGAAATATCTGTTAAACTAAGTTTGGCCTAACTACAGTCTCAGTGGTAGGGAGATAGCAAACGTAATAAAAGGCCTTTACTGAGGAGAGATTAGTGCAATGCGGGTTTTTTCAAAGTGGCTTATTTGGAACAGACCATGGCTTTATGCAAATTAGTGTGCAATGATATGGTATTACAAAGGACACTAATTAAGGTGTAAACATTCCCTCTGGATTATGGTTGCCTAATTCTGTGGTTTCCACAGACACATACAGAATGAAGTGAAAATTTTAACACTAAGTCATAGCTATCCCTAGTGGTATGCCCTTCCAACTGACAGAGTTACCTCCCCCTGACCTAGACGTCACTGTATAGTAGTTTGAAAATCCTCACAAATTTTCTGTATGGTATGGCTTTAGCTATGGCTAAGAGTAAGTATGTGCAATGTGAAAAGTTTATGTCGGATTTAGACCCCCATTCTCTCTGCATTTCTTGTTTTACTAGTAATCCTTGTACTTTGCAAGATTGCTGCCTTATGTGTTCTGAATTATCAGAAGTTGAGTGGTTAAATATGGAATCTGCAAGATCTCAGACTAGGAAACATAAGAGCTCCCCATCGTCGGAGGCCAGCAAAAGTAAAAAATCTGCTTCAGGGGCCCCGCCATCTTCACAGAGATCTGAATCAAAATCAAAATCTAGATCTAGATCTAAGTCGGATGCATCTCATTTGGACATTTCTGCAATCTCGGATTTATTTGCATCGTTTAAATTAGAGTTGCAGGCCTCAGTTAGTCAGTCTATGTATGATATGGAGATGAGGAATGAGGCCAAGATGAATTCATTACAAAACTGTTTCATGATGGCATTATGTACGGCAAGACGACCGGTGGTCACACTGACTGGGTTGACTGCCACCTTATCCCACGCAGGGAATGTGCTGCAGTCATATCCTAGCGGGACTGACTCCATGCCCTCGGCTTGCGTCTCCCACCTTGGGTTTAATCAACGAGCCATGGCTGCCACGGGGGTTAGCGGTATCCAGGACCAGCAGTCCAGTAGCCACGTGCTAAGCGGGATTTCCACGCGAGCCATGGATCATTTTGACACTGCTTGTACCGGACCTCTCGGATTTGGAAGCTGCTTCTATTTATCCTCTCTGTCAGCCAGAAGTCGTTATGAAGGAGGTGTTATTGACAGTCCAGCCTATGGATACTTCGGCCGAAGATTTTGTTCCTGGATGGTCTCTTAGGGAAAAGGTGGAATTAATCCATGGACTTTATCCTAGCACGGTCCCGCCACAGTCTGAGGAGCCGGAATGGGAGTTACCAGTGGAACTGGGATCGTCGTGATGTCTGCCGCCAGGAAGGGTTCCCCAGCTATCTCTTCCTCATTCATCGGCACTTAAGTCGGCGCTTGACTCGTACAATTTGAACCCCTCCAAGGCAACTTCAGTCAATGCGTTACCCAAGATTGTTCAAAAGCCAGTGTATGCTATTCCACTTCATGCTCCGCACATGGACAAGGATTTTGCCCAGCTTCAGGACACTAGAGGTGCCAGGGATACTCCATTTTCCTGTTCATCCAGGGATCTCAAGAACATTGATGGGGCCGCTCGTTCATCCTTGGACATACTATCCTATACCAACTGGTTTGCTGCGGGAGTCCGGTCATTATTACCACCTTTATTCCAAGATTATGAAGGAGTAAAGAAGGACACATTAGTATCCATGTCAGCCGAAGAAGTAGCCATGGTGCATTCTTTTTTAGATGTGGTATACCAATGTATAGCCGACACAACTCACAATCAGCTGTGTACTCTTGGACGTTTAACAGCCATGGAGAGACTTCATAAGTTAGATTCAGTTAGAAGTCTACCAGAGACAGCTAAAGACGTTTTATTTCAACAGCCCCTGGACTCAGAATTTCTTTTCCATGGACAATGTTGTCAGGCTATTCAAGTTAAGGATGCTTTTACATCACGTAATCTGAATAAGAGATTGGATTCAGCTTTACTTTCACAAAGCAGGAATAAGCCTCATTCCAGGCCTAGGAGGGATTCATCTGCTACTATTTCCCCGCCAACCTACTCACAGATGTCAGGAGCCACTACAACGTTCAGCATTTGACAGGGCAGGAGACTCTAGGTCGCGTAATTCCTTCTCGTCGTCATCATCTTCTACTCGTGGCTACGCCTCCTCCAGGGGCAGGGGTAGGGGCACCATTTTTTTTCATGGCGCCAGAGTGGGATCTAGGAAGTTTTGACTCCAATCAAACAGTCCAGTTTACTCAGCCTTACGATTTGGAAATGTCCCTCAACTTGGAAACAGACTTCGAATTCATTCTACCGGTATCCCAATCTCCCGTAGGGGGTCGGCTAGCACAATATGTGGAGAATTGGAGACAGATCACCTCGGACAGCTGGATTTTATCAGTCATAGAGAAAGGTTACATGCTACCATGGGAGAGCCTACCTACAGTAACTTACCAGCCGGTAGGGAAACATTTTTTCCTGCAAGGTGATTGTCTAGCGGGAGCAGTAACGGGCCATTCAACAACTGTTAGACAAGCAGGCCATGTGGAGATTCCACACTCAGACCAGTCCTGCGGGTTCTACTCCCCGGTATTTTTAGTTCCCAAGAAAGACACGGAGGAGATGAGGATGATTATAGACTTGAAAGTGTTAAACAAGGAATATTTAAAGAAAC